AGCAGCGCCACCGGTGCATCCGAAAATTAACGGGCAGAAGTTACGCTGCTCTACGTTTAAAATTCTTTGCTGATATTTGGAGTTCTTCAGCGTTTCGTGATATTTATATGCTTCTTTATGCAGTTTTCGCGATGTTTTGGCATGGGTTTGAAATTTTTCACATCAAAGAAAGCGCGGCTAAATCGTGAACCCCAGAGTCCGTTTGCCTTAATGTCAAGTCGTGCCTCATCCTCGGTTGTAGTTGAATTGTTGACAAAGCTTTCGCCTTGCAACGGCTGAAGTTTCGGCTCAATCTCGACGTCATGGCAAACCTCGTTCATGTGGTTGGCGAATGTGTCTCTAATTTCATTGTGTCTTATGTGTGTGTAACCGCCCTTTGCACAGTGTAGCGCATGTGTCAAGGTAAACTTAGCACCACATGCACATGTGAGTGAGGTTTTGGTCAGTTCCCATCCGTATCTTAAGTAAATACCATCTCTGAATTCTGATTTTTTCAGGTTGAAGTATCTGCTCAATATTAAATTGTTGAGCCAGTTAGAGGGTATTAAGATGTCTAGGGTGGTTAGTGCGGAGTAGACTTGATGACTGAGGTCGATTGACTAAATATAATGGTGGGTTGATGGGATACTTCTTTTTCATGAATACGCGTTGTGCACGAGTGGGGTGTTATTACGAAAGAATGATAATAGTGTTTCAAAAGATCAAGTGGAGTGTGTTAGTTGGTTGGTTGTACGTGGTTTGTTATTAAAAAGTATTTGCTATTTACGCAGAATAAAATCATCTAACTCATCATTTTTTTAGTCATAAGTTTTTGGGTTTGAGGTGTCGGTCGGAACAAATGCGGGAAAGGGGTGAGAGAATCGGAGTAGCGCCGGTATAAGAGAAATGTGAGTTTTAGGATTTGATGACTACGGTAACTGAGGGAGTTATTGGATGAAAAAAAGTGGCGAAATAATAGAAATTTGACTTGCTTCGGAGTCAGCAATTTCATCAGGTGTGTCACTGGTAGGTATATCTAAAAATTCTTGTGTATTAAAACCTAGATAAAGTCATCAGTGTGCATGTGGGGTAAGTTAGGTGAAAAAGTGGAAAAATAGGAACTGTATACCGGCAGTGGAGATCTTAATTCCCGGGAAATCTCTGCGATTGGTAGTGGCACACAAAGAAAGACTGTCAGAGCGGATTGGCAAAATCAGGGGAAAAAGACAGAGACCATAAAAAAAGTTCAAGTATATGTACATCGACTGAAATTTCTGTGAAAATGTCTGAAAAGCTATCTAATACCGGACTTTTTGAAGCTTAGGGTCCCCGAGAACATTATTTTTTGGACCAAGCTGTGCATAATTTTCAACTAAAACTACTAAGGACTGAAACTTCTAGGGCAAATGAGGACAGGAAAAGGAACGAGGAGATGCTAATGAAAGCAAAATCCTTGGTGCAAAAAAAAATCGATGAACAGTGGTAGGCATCCATCCAAGTTGAGGCAAGCTTATTGACAACATCAGAAAACCATAGAAAAAAGTTAGAAAAACTTTCGAGAGACAAGATAAAACTCTTGGGGGGAGAAATGAGCGATCAGTTAAGGTGCTTGATAACATTCAACTGCTTGGATGGGTACATGAAGTGCTGTCAATGGGCCCAAAGCATACCATTAGAGACAAATTTAACGAAACGCACTTTTTTGCTGTTATCGACGTTTTACTCTCGAAATTGAAAAACCAGAACATCTGGTGAAACTTTATGTGAAATAGAAGCCGAGGCAAAGGCATATGCAAAAAACGTAAGTCAAACCCCAAGAGACAAAGCCGTTAAAAAACGAGGAGTTATCTCAAAAGTAATGGGTTGCTGGCTGCGCCTTTTAATAAGGGGTTGGTTTTTGCATAATGAGGAAACAAACGTATGAATCAAAGCTGGAATCCTTGTTGCAACCTATCTGCTCAGTTTTTGAAAAAAGATGTAATCACTGATGAACTTATATTGAGAATTGAGAAGGAACTTAACAAAGAACTACTAGCCATGAACAAAAGAGACGAGATAAGTGACCAGTTATATTCTAAGATGAGGTCAACAGGGGGCAACCCGCCCGTTAGTACGATTTAGCTAAGGTACACAAGGCGGAGACTCCCCTACGACCAGTACTATCACTTCCAGGCAGCTCGTACGAGAATCTTAACAAAACGCGTGCATTTTTTGTTGACATCATCGATGGAGCCAATAAAGAAACCAATACTAAAGATACCAGAGAAACAATTGAAAACATTGCCCTGGATCCGGTTGAAACCATAATATCTCTTGATGGGAAAAACTGTATAGCAACGTTCCTTGAAGGAGGCAATTGAAATTGCTTAACAGAAGCTGTACAGCCAGGAGGGAGTCTCCTTCTGAAATTCAAAGAGCAACCATGAAAAGGCTTTTGAATATGGCGGTCAGCAAATTAAATTTCAAGTGTAATGATTCATGGTATGTGCAAGATGATGGTTTAGCAATTGGCGCGTCCCTCGCTGTAATTCTGGCAGACTTATGGCTGAAAGAGTACAAGTTTGCTCTAAGACAAGAAATACTGATGGGAACGGAGATTCAGTAAATTAATGACAAAAACGGTTTCCATATTGCAGCAGGAAATTCACATATAGATCAAAGGGGGCTGAATGCTAGTGTTGCCGAAAATGGTATGATCTAATATGCGTAAAAATATCCGATGACAAATACGCATCAATAACCGAGACTGTGAAAGCTGCTGCCGCGCTAAGAACAAGGAGAAGGATACTCCCCAGGTGAAATGGTTCCTCAGGCATGTGAATGACCTTGTTAGAACAGTCAGAGGGGGCCGAATTGTCTTCTCGATGCCGCCAATTCTCTTCATCCAAATCTGCAGTTCACTCTGGAGGAAACTATTTCGGAGGGGATTTTCCCGTTCCTGGATTTGAACATAAATGTTTCGCAGGATAGGGGTGTTTTTTTGCAATTGGTATCAAAAATCAACATATATTGGGACTATACTGAATAATAGAAGTATAAACGTAGTGTTATCTAATGCACTGTACACAGGTTTTTTAGGAGTACATGTAGCTAGGCTACGGAAACTAATAGGGCGCAATGGCTGACAAATCAGTACGCTGAAAATTGGTCCGCAAAGGTGGCGGCTGACTCCCTGTGCAAAATCACCGAGGGTAAGTGCAAGTCCCTGGATAGTGAGAGGTGTTTGTCAATCCAAAAAAATATGAAGCTCACAATGCTGATGGTGCAATATAGAGGTAACCGAAGCCAATAATTTGCTAACAGGTTAGGAAACTTAACTAACATTCAAATGGTTTTCACCACAAGAAAACCAGAATCATGTTTACCGTCACTTAAGTCATTATTTTTTTATGACCTCGAGTCAAGATAGGTTTATAAATTGTCCTGTAGTGGATGCACTTCCAGATATGTCAAACAAAATGTTCAACATTTGACCTCTAGAATTGAGGAACATAATAAAGCAGACTCACCGTTACGCCTCCACCTTCAGCAATGCCAACTTGAGAAAATAGCGCAGCTCAAAGTCGGGAAATTATCGATACGTCAAACAACCAGACAAATTTGTTAACACTAGAAGAAATACATATCACGAAAGAGAAACCGGGCTTGAATGCGCGCGAGGAGTTTAGGAGCAGGGAGTTATCACTGAATATTTTGTCACAAAATATTTTTGGTTTGTTATTTAAAACGTACATGTCTTAATCAAAGTTACGATTCAGAAACTCCCAGAAAAATAAATTTAAAAATGTTTTATTAATTTAATTGACCTAAAGTATTTTAATCTGAATAGTAATTTAGAAGTCAACTTCAGCAATGCAACTTGAGGAAAATAGCGCAGATCTTAGTTGGGAAAAAATAGATAGGTCAAACAACCAAACAAATTTGTTAACACTAGAGGCAATACATATCAGGAAAGAGAAACCGGGCCTGAACAAGCGCGATGAGTTTAGGAGCAGGGAGTTAACACTGAAAATTTAGTACCAAAATATATTTGGTTTTTTATTTAAAACGTACATGTCTTAATCGAAATTATGACTCAGAAACTTCCAGACAAATTAATTTAAATTTGTTTAATTAATTTTACAGGTTAAAATTATTTTTATCGTAATAGTAATTTAGAGGTCAACTGTGATTGGCTCATTTTTTAACATGATGTTTTAGAACCAAAATAAATGTGAATTATTGTAAATAACATTTGTAAATTGATCTTTTATCGTCATTTAGATTAGTTTTTTTGTAAAAATCCTGACGATGCACATAGTTGCGAAAATGTTTGAAATTTAATTTTTAGCAAAAATTTCTTCAACTGTGATTGGCTTATTTTTTAACATGATGGTTTCGAACCAAATTGTATAGGAATTATTTTGAATCTCATCTGTAAATTGATGTTTTATCGTCATTTAGATTAGTTTATTGTAAAAATCCTGACGATGCACATTGTTGCGAAAGCATTTGAAATTTAGTTTTTAGCATTTCAAAATCTCTTCGACAAATATAGAGATTTGATTAAGGATGGATATATTTTTCAACTATTAGATTTTGAAGTTCAGGGTGCCGCCAGCCCTTATACTGAGATTTGTCTGAATAATCTTTGTATGAACTTGTTCACGTGTAGCGAGGAACCCAGGGTAGGTATTTTTCTGAAGCAGAGAATTTCCTCGCAATACAGGTTGCGAACGCTGCCTGTGTATTCAGCACTATTAATGATAAACTTAGTTTCGAAGAAATTTTTAATTTATAGCGCCCAGGGAACAAAAGCGGAGCTGTATTTAAGTATATGATAGACCCCTTGCCTCTCATCAGGTCAGTCTTTTTGAGTCACTTTCATCTATCAATATTATACTTTACTCTTCCATATCTAGAAAATTCCGAGGATTTTGACTGAATAATGTGATGAAGGGACTCCTGAATGTAACCTCGTTTACAATGACACTTTTGATCTTCTGATAATGAGTAAAAAAAGGTTTTTGGTTTTAAGAAAAATGTCTTTATCAAGAATTCTTCCCAAGCCTTCATTATCGACATATGATCCTGATGTGCAACAGCAATATCGAAAACAGCAAGAGCAGAAACAGGCGCAAAATTCGGGTACACTTGTTAAGAGCGGACCACCACCATATGGTCATCGAAAAGGATGGGTGCCTAGGTACGTAAACCATGATGTAAACATGGGTGCGTAAACCAGGATAAGATGTCAACTAAACTCAGTAGTATCTGCTGTTTCTAGAACCCAAGAGGATTTCGGAGATGGGGGTGCGTACCCCGAATGTATTGTAGTTCAGTATCCCATGATGATGGGATCCAAGAAGAAAGGCGCCTCTCAATCAAACGCTGTTGCTCTTCAGTACGACAAGGATGGTAGTGTCAAATATGACGCTATTCTCAAACAGGGACATAGAGATGACAAGATTATTCATTCAGGTGAGATTCACGGCTAACAACTTGTTCCATACAAGTATTGTTTCAATTGAGTGCTTATAATAAATTCCAATATAATCGACTTTGGCACATAGTTAGCGTGCATGACTGAGATGAAAAAGGTCGAGGGCTCGAAACAGGCCTGAATCATTCTTATGCAATAAAGAGTAAAAACAATGTTGTGGTAAAAAGCTTTTCGAACAGAAAGTTCATCATCAGTTAAAACATAGCACCTGAAAAATAATGGTATTTACAAAAAATAGTTAAAGATATAAACATAAAAAGATAGAAGTACAGCAAGCTGTTTTCAGCTTGATGGTCATCGTGTCTGCTTGTTTTGCCTGCTTTGTCACAGCACGGTCTTTTTAGTGATTCAAGGCCTTCTAATATATTTAGGCTTGCGATTAGCAAGCGTTATCAAACTTTAAAAAAAAACTAAATTAGTTTCGGTAAGTGCACAAGCTGGATAGGGCCATACCCATATCATAAAAATGCATATATATCAGCAAACTATCATTTAATCAATGAAGTCATAAATCAGCATTAAATGCATCGTCTTAATGTTAATTTATCTTAGCCGTCCTTCCTCTACAATAGCGCTGATGGAGTTGTCGATAAATTGATTTTTGCGCCGCGATCTGCACCCCCTAATACATAGTATAGAGCTCCCCAGGAGCTCGAAGCTTATTTTAGTTCTTATGTAATTTATCGACTCTGGATAGCTTTTTTGTCTTTTTTCACTTAGTTTTTCGGCTAATCGCTGCATTGTCTGCGTGGCTGTTGGAGCAGCGCCACCGGTGCATCCGAAAATTAATTGGCAGATGTTACTCTGCTCTACGTTTAAAATTCTTTGCTGATATTGGGAGTTCTTCAGCGTTTCGTGATATTTATATGCTTCTTTATGCAGTTTTCGCGATGTTTTGGCATGGGTTTGAAATTTTCCACATCAAAGAAAGCGCGGCTAAATCGTGAACCCCAGAGTCCGTTTGCCCTAATGTCAAGTCGTGCCTCATCCTCAGTTGTAGTTGAATTGTTGACAAAGCTTTCGCCTTGCAACGGCTGAAGTTTCTGCTCAATCTCGACGTCATGGCAAACCTCGTTCATGTGGTTGGCGAATGTGTCTCTAATTTCATTGTGTCTTATGTGTGTGTAACCGCCCTTTGCACAGTATAGCGCATGTGTCAAGGTAAACTTAGCACCACATGCACATGTGAGTGGGGTTTTGGTCGGTTCCCATCCGTATCTTAAGTAAATACCATCTCTGAATTCTGATTTTTTTTCAGGTTGAAAGATCTCCTCAATAATAAAGCGTTGAGCCAGTTAGAGGCTCGCTTTTCAGAGGCCAGTTCAATTGCGTATTTATCTGTTTCATCTAAGGAGTTAATGAGGTTTGTTTTCTTTCGGTTTCTTCTATCAGTTTTCAATTTTTCGATTTTCGTACATACTTTTTCTTGCTGTGTTATTGCTGTAACAGGATCTTGAGATTCCGGTACTAGTGATGTTTACTTAGACCATTCTAGATACCTTTTATGATCGGATGGCAGCTCGATGTTAAGGCCGCCCATTATAAGGGGTAAGGAAGATATTTCACGAAACTGGGGGTTCAATGACTCTTTATCGACTAGGTTAGGTATTAATTGTTTTGATAATCTTTTCACATATTTCTAAGTTTTCCATAGTGTTAGGTGTTGTCCTGGTAAGAAATGAAAATTTTTCTTAAAGTCCTTTAGTATAGCGGGCATAAACGTTTTGGTGGTGAGGTTTCAGCGATTTTCGTTAATTTTTTTCAAAATTTTGATTTGCTCATTCTGAAATTCGAGGAAATTTTTACTTTCAGATTCTGTTCCTATATTTGAACCAAGCACTCGGGCACCTGCCTTTATAGTGATTCCTGTATTTTCGAACATTTTCTCAGCTTCACAGAGTTTTTCATCTTTGACAATGAGTTGGCATTTGAATGCTTTAACATGGTAGCCAAAAAATTTACCTTGTGATACAATTTTATCGAGGACGGTTAGTAGATTGCTTAATTTACCGATTGCTTTTCCGTCGTCTGCGTACCATTTCTGGGTTACGTTGTCTACTGATAAAAATTTTTTGAGGGGTAATATGGCTAGAACGTACATGGCCATTGCTAGTGGATCCCCCTGAGTTGTCCCCTCTTGAGAGTAGATGTTTTTTTAGTTAACGAACAGTTAAGATGGATTGGAGTAGGATTTCTCAATCGCTGTTAAAAGAGATGGGCAGGTAATTTCGATGTTTTTCAATGCCAGCTTTCGGTTTAGCGAGTTTTCGGCGTCTATCAGTAAAGCAGCATCATCGGAGCTTTTGCTGTATTGATCTCTTAGCGCGTGGATCGCATATTCAATGCCACATTTTTTTCCTAGACAGAGTTGGTAGTTTGAACCAAACGACATGAATTCGTTTTTTAGGCATTTGGTTTTTGTTTGTCCTCTTATCCTACGCATAACTTCTCCTGTGCCCATGGGTCTTACTCCTGGATTCTTATCTAAGGGTATTAATCTACATGCGTTATATGGTTCCCTTAGTTCTGGATTTAGTTCTTCGGTAGCCAATTTTTTTTGTCAGTTTAAGCAATTGTTTTTGCATCAAGGCCAGATGGTCCATGAGATCCGTGCGTTCTCATGGCTGCTTTCTTGATATGTTGACCGTTTATCTGGTCAAATATCGATGGATGGAAAGGAATTGTTTCATTTGAGACTGGTGTAATATAGTTCTCATCAATTGGTTCAGATGGTGGGTGCTTCTCTATAAGAGTCTGTTCTACTGTCTTACCTTTGATGATCTCGTCGAGCGAAAGATTGCCTTTGGATGTGTCCGTTAGTTTTGCTATTGCGCTTGATATTTTACCAGTATTCATTACGTTGAAATGATGTGCTTCAGTTTCAGTTTTTCTTCTACTTACTTTTGTCGAGCGCATTTGCAGCGTCTGCCCTTCGTTATATAGGTCATCCAGGTCTCCACCTTGACATTGATTAAGTCGCCTTGCTATTGTTTTACATAAAGATCCATCATTTTCGGACTTTGTTTTGCAGTAGTAATTGTGGAAAGATCATTGCTGCGTGCATTGCGAAGGTATTTTCGTTGTTTTCTATTAGGCTGTTCAGAGTTCTATTGAGGCTTTCAATGAAATTATAACCAACTCGATTTTTTGATGAGATCATAAAGACCGGTTTCCAGTGGACCACTTCGGAGTATATTTTTCTTGTGGTTTCTTTAAGTTCTGGACAGGGGTTTGACAATGGGTCTAGGGTAGTGGAAGGATTTGACATAGGGAGTGTAGGGCAGTGGAAGGATGAGGGTGCATTTGAGGGAGCGTTGTAGCTAGGGTTGGGGGATTGCATTCATGCGTGCCGTTAGCTGAATGAAATTGGGATGTGCTGCGATGACAGTTGAAGTCGTAATAATGATCACTGCTGCGGGCTAGCCCGCTGCATTTTACATGCATGTAGCCTGGGCATGTGAAGCACCAAATACCTCCGCCTCACAAGTTGTTTCTACAAATAAGGTAATGTGTTTGAGTAGCCATTTGAGGAAGGACGGCAGTGTCAAGCTAGCGAGAGAATTTATAGAATATATTTCCAAGAAAGTTAGTAAAGAAATCAATACCGTAGAACGAGAAATAGATGCCATCACGGCAGAACATTTGAGGGATTAGATTTAGGTTGAGGTTAGGTGAAACAATGAGTGTATAGGGGTGTACAATTCTATTTATCAAATTAAGCAACACATGATTATGAATATAAATTTTGCGATTTATTTCAGAGTTATTACAGTTCTGAATTGTTTTGGGGATGATCAGCGTCTTGGGCTGAAACTTGTTAGTGACGAGTTGAATTGTTTTGGGGATGATCAGTGTCTTGGGCTGAAATCTGTTAGTGACGAGGTTAATCAAGTTTTTCCGCTACTGTTCTAGTTCTTGTGGAAGCGGCCTGTTGTCATTGTATCCAGCAACTATTGCTACTGTATTTAGTCGCTTTGGTCGTATTGCAAAACTGTTTCAAACAGATCATGAAGCGTTGTGCCGCGGTAGGAGTGAATTGTTGATTTTATTAGAGCTGGTTTGATATATTTGGTCCTTGAAACCCCGATAACTAGTTTCTGTGAGAACTCACGGATGCGTCTTGCCTGGAATCGCGGCATCTACCTGAAACACAGACAACTGGAGCCAGAAAGGAAGCTCTTTGGGGGTCGTTTCTGAATATTTTCAATTAGGATGTAAAATTGGTTAGACAAGGGTGATGAAGAAAAAAAAAGAGAAAGGAGTGGTACAACCTGACGTCGTTTTGGGGGTCGATTCACCAGCTCACTCTTTCTTGCGTCTAGTTACGCTAGGGAAACTTCACTCACCTACGGCTGGGACTAAGATAAGTCTGTGAGGAAAGCCCAGCGCATGTATTATGAAATTACACGAGGTAAATTTGAACTGACACACTATTTAATAAGTTTATCACAACAATTAGGCTTTGTCACAGCACGGTCTTTTTTGTGATTTAAGGCCTTCTAATGTTTTTAGGTTTGCGATTAGCAAGCGTTATCAAACTGGATTATAGACTTTTTTCGGGTTAACAACTTGTTCAAGAGAATCACTTTTGTCATCTTGGCTCGTATTGAATGCAAAATTTGATGCCAATTTAGCCTGGAGGTAGCGAATATGCCTGGGACGGCAAAGGTCCTGGGTTCGAATTTGACAAGGACCTGTTTTTTTTGCAAACTGGAATTTTTCTGTTTCAAAGAAAATTGTCGGCCAATTATTTGTCTGCTTATTGATAACGCTGGCACATAGTAAGCGTGCATGACTGGGATGACAAAGGTCCAGGGTTCGAATCAGACCAGACCTCTTCTTATACAAATGGAAAAGTTTTCAGCTGGACGGCCTATCGTGTCTGCTTATGTTTTGCCTGCTTTGTTGTCACAGAACGGTATTTTTGTGATTTAAGGCCTAATGTGTATTTACGCTTTGAGTAGGAAGCGTTATCAAACTGGAGTATATACTTTTTTCGGTTTAACAACTTGTTTAACTGATTAACTTCTATCTTGGTTCATATTGATTTCAAACTTCTCTGCGTTCCCGGCCAAGTTAGCCAGGAGGTGTGAATATGCCTGGGACGGCTAAGGTCCTGGTTTCGAGTCCGAACAGGACCTGTTTTTTCAAACCTGAATTATTCTGTTTCAAAGAAAGTTGTCGGCCAATTATTTTACTGCTTATCTGTTGTCGGTTTAGCTTTCACATCTTGATGCCGTTTTTTTCCTGCGCGCATTTTTTTCAATGTTGCTTTTATTGTTTGACTTACTCCTACAGTTTGTAATTTTAATCACCTTGACATCGTCTTTCTTTTTTTTTGTTTCGCTTATACATTTCGTCTTATTTTGTCAACCTAATCACCAATTATTAGGTCCTTAAAAGGGAAAAACAACTTGATCACTCCTCTCCGCACTTTTTATGTTACCAATCCGTTAATTGATTTTTTTTCTGTATGGAAAATTATGTTCAAAATCATTGGAAAAATTTTTGTTTCTCTCAAACTTGATTTTCAAAAATGGGTATCAACCTACTCCCCTGTGTGCCTGTGTACTCCCTTAGAGTCTCTGTTTAGTTGACTCTATGTCTACAGCCTTGGAAAAAGTCTGTGGGGAACATTTGACCAATGTTTTTGATTTTTTTCGTTTTCTCGAAAAATACATTTCTCATTTTTTTGGTTTCAATAAAAATAATGATTATGAAAAGCTCCCTGCATGAGCGGCTACGCCCAAAAATTTTTTCTTAAAGTTATGGCCCTCGGAATAATCAAATTTTGGATGGTTCTTAAACTTTTTTTAATATTCTCGAAAACTACCCTGCCATATTTGAGATTTTGGGTTCAGTTAGAAGAACTTGTGAGAAGCTCATTTGCCTGTGCAGCTACTCCAAAGTATGGCCCTCGGAAAAGTCAAAGTTTTAATTTTTCGACCCTTTGCAAGATTTTGACAGTTCTCTTGAACTACACTCCCAAACATGAGATTTTGGGTTCAATTGAAATAACAAGATTAGCGAATCCCATCTGCATAAGCGACTACGCCCTATTTTTTTTTACACCAAAAGCTATGATTCTCGGAAATTTTTGATTGCTATGATTCTCGGAAATTTTTGATTAGTTGACTGTTTTTTGGATTTTTCTCGCTAACTATCTTGCCAAATCTGATATCATACGTATAATCGAAACAACAGGTTCTTGAAAGCCTACTTTTATAACTGGCTATGCCCAGTTTGTTTAAGAAAAAAGTTATAGCCTTCTAACAAGTCGAAGTTTTCAAAATTTTTGACTTTACGCGAAAACTACCGTGCCAATTCTCAGGTCGTGCTCAATCTAGAAAGCAGATTTTGAGAATTTTCTCTGCTTAAGCGGCGACAACATGCTCATTGCAGGAAAAAAATCACGGATTTTTTTAATCCTTTAATCAGTATTTTTAGAACTTTGAATTTTTTTAGAAAGTTTTTGAATTTTCTGAAAATTTTTGCTACCAAATCTCAGATGAAAAGTTCAATTGAAAGAACCGGTTGCGATAATGGTTATTGCAGAAGCGGCGGCTCCTTAATTTTTTTAACAGCATTTTTATGTACTTGAGAAAATTCGAAAATACATTATCTCCAAATTTTTGACTCCTATCACTTAGAGAAACAAAGAAGGTTTTGGCAATGTCCAATTTTTGAAATCACATTTTTCGTGCCCCATCAGTATAGCAAATTCATTGAATATCAAACACATAACTTCAGCTTTCGCTAGGCCCCAGTTAATTTTTTATCTAGACATACGAAAATTGTGGTTCACCTAGTTTTTTTTCTTCAACATTTGATTTTTTTTCGACATACGTTCTTTGTTTTGTTTGTTGCATTGCGAGCGGCGCGAAGCTCCGCTTCGCCGCCTGTGTTCCGAATCGTGCTGCTAATTGAGCTCCAAAAAGTTCAATGTTTTTGATAAACGGTTCTTTGAGTTTCTCTTTTCACTCTCCTCTTAGTCACAAGAAAGCAGTGAGTAAAGCCTTATTGTTCCGACCATTGAAAATGGGGAGGAACTTTGTATTTAAGCTACCACAAATAATCATTGGACAGGATTGAGTGTTATATCATATTAAAGCCCTTTCAGTCGTGATTTGAACGACATTAAAAAATTTCAAAAAAATTTTCAGTGTCGAGAAAAACCGGTTTTGAATTATTGATTTTTTGTCTAATTTCGAGCTAATTAGTAAGGTAGTTAGTAATTTAAATAGCTCATTCAAGCTTAATTTAAGCCTTGAAAGTTTAATTTTACTCAAGTAAAGGTAGTTTTTGGAGTTTCTTAACGCAATTTTGGGAATCAAAAACTTAAAAATTCAAAAAGTTTGGAAAAAATATTTGAAATTTTCAGTTTTTTTTTTCCAATTGACCTATTTTACTATGACTCTCAAATATGCATAAGGTCTAATTTTTCGTTCAATTTTTTTATCACAAAATGCAGAAAAAAACGAGACCAACTTGAGAAAACTTTTTTGTCTTTTTAAAGACTGGTCGGAACATTCTGTGCTACTTGCACAATAACAGGCTATCCTTGTCTTAAATTTTTATAAGATTATTTTTGAAAATTAATAGATTTTTCTTGAAAATTAAATGTCAGAGAATGGGGGTGTTTCTGCGTTTTTGATCGGTATGTCAGTTTTTGATTGATATGTCAGTTTTAAACTGTCAATTTCTTACACCTTAACATTGGCATATGTTAATACACAGCCTCCGGTTTGCCACTGGTGATTTTTTTAATGATCAGCTATGAGACATTAAGGATGAAAATCTATGATTTAATTCATTTGCGAGATTTTTTAATTCTGAAAGTCCCGAAATTGAAGGACACTCAATCTAATTCTGTAGAAGCGTTAGTTTTTACGATTTAACAGAAGAAATATGAATATCCCATGAAAGCATGGTAATTGTTTAATAGTTTAACCTGATCTTGAGTATGAAATACCGCCTAAATTTTTAATGTTCTTCTAGCTAAGGCTTTATTGGAAAACGGATGGAAACCATCATATTTTCTTACGTTTAGGTGTCGAAAGCACTCTTTACAAACAATACAACGAAGCAGATTTGCAGCGACCAGATGAAGAAACGATTGAGAGTACGACAGAATCAACGCGACAAGCGTTGGAAAAACTAGTAAACAGTAAAATATCAGCAGCACTGCCAGTTCGAGCAGCGCCAAAGCAAGAACCAGCGCAATATATTCGGTAAATGTTCGAACAAATGGATTCACCATGGTTGCTTTTGCTAATTGGCGGGTTGAACAAGACTTTTCATGCGCCATTTCCAAAATAACAGGGTTTGTACGCCTATCGGTGCTCCGCTATTCTGGGGTATGATGTCATTTAAAAGTGTAATTGAGCTGTTGAGTTCGCCAATTAGGTACAACAACACTGGATTGTCAAACCATATCGTCAAGATTTCACCTTTGGCTTCCCCATTATTAACTCTTTGACCACTGGTATGTTGAAAGGTGAATTTTTAGATTCACTCCTGCCCAGCAAGGAGGTGGATTTAACTCTGGAGCAAAGCAGAGAATAATCAGAATGGTTGAAGCTCAAGTTGACCCAATGGAGCCAGCGAAATTCAACACCAGCAAAAAGATCCCGAGGGGACCACCATCACCTCCAGTTCCTGTTCTACATTCACCTACCAGAAAGTTAACAGCCAAAGAGCAGCAAGACTGGAAAATCCCGCCGTGTGTGTCTAACTGGAAGAATGCCAAAGGTTACACGATTCCGCTTGACAAGCGACTTGCTGCGGACGGAAGAGGCTTGCAGGTATGTTTATGCCTTATTAATTGCTATTGATTTGACTGAAAACTTAATTTCAAAGCGATGAGTTTTTAAGTTTCTTTAAAAAAAATGCCCCAATCTTCTGGAGTCAATGAGTTTTTAAAATGGTTTTGCAAAAAGTGAAAATGTTTGATTGCTCGTTTGGTAATTGAATAATGACAATATGACATGTCAGAGGCCTCCTAATTATAGGCAAAAAAATGTTATGCTAATTGGATTTCTATATGCATATTTCGGCGAATGTGATAATGATTCAACCGTTTTAGTCGGTCACAATTAACGAAAACTTTGCCCGTCTGGCCGAAGCGTTGTTCATAGCCGATCGAAAAGCACGTGAGGCTGTTGAAATGCGAGCTCAAGTTGAACGAAAAATGGCGACCAAAGAGAAAGAAAAGCAAGAGAAACGACTCAGAGATTTGGCAGCCAAAGCCAGAATGGAACGAGCTGGAATTTCAGCTGATGGCGATGAAGATGGAAATGATGATGACAGAGGAGCTATCAACGAAAGAAATGAAATCAGAGATGAAAGAAGGAAAGATCGAGCTCGAGAGAGAAATATAGCTAGAGCTGCTCCTGACAAACAAGCGCAGCTTCGCAAAGACGCAGACAGAGATGTCAGTGAGCAGATTGCCCTCGGTTTGCCAGCGAGAGGAAACCAGAATGATGAGTCTATGTTCGATCAGAGATTGTTCAACAAGTCACAGGGATTGGACTCTGGATTCGGTTTCGACGATGATACGTATAATATATTCGACAAGCCCTTCAGAAATGAAGCAAATATGGCTAACAATATTTACAGGCCGAGTAAAAATGTCGACCAGGTAAGCTTCATGTCCAATTAGGAAATCATGCTCTTTGCAAGTTTACAATGCGTTATCTGTGTTCGGAAAATTGCTGGGCGTATTTTTTTTAACATTTTAGCTTGTATTTCAAATTTAAGCTGAGAAATTCTGAGATAATAAACTATGTATCATCTCATTTATGCACCTTTATGAAATGATTGTAAATTCTCTTTTGCTGACCTTGAAAACAAGGTTATTGTTGTTGTAAAAATGGATATGATTTTGTATATTTTAGGACACGTATGGTGACGATCTTGATAAAATACGTTCCTCTAAGAGGTTTGTGCCAGATAAAGACTTTTCCGGAGGTGCCGCCCAGAGCAGCAGAGATGGTCCGGTTCAGTTTGAAATGGCACCAGGCGCCGCAGACGAAGGAGGCGAGGAGGAGGATCCCTTCGGTCTCGAGAAGTTCTTGAGCGAAGCAAAGAAGGGATCGGCAACAGACGGAGCTGGACAATCAACGTCTGGGTCCAAGCGACCAAAGCCGGAATCAGAGAAACCATCGTCCAGTGGGAGCAAACGAAAGCGATAACTTTGTGCTGCCATTGTGATCTCTCTTTTCACTGCAATGAGATTTATCTCCATGTGAATATGTCGCGTGTTCAGGATTGCGAAGCTTTTGGAGCTAGAATTGATTTTTTTAAAGTAAACTTTCGAGCCAACATCAGATTTTGAAAAATTTTCTATCATTCCAGAAGCAGCAAGTTTTTGCCCATTCAGCATTAAAACCAGCAACATGGCCCGCTGTCTAGATACTGCGATAAGTTTATCATTGTCGCCGGTATCCACAGAGGTTCGAGTGAGGAAACATTAATATTTTTACTGCATAGTTTGTGATCCTTGCAATGCTCCTTAAGCTCAATTTACAGTCGAGATTTGATCTTTTCAATTAATTCTCCTAGCTATATATATATTTTTTCAACTATGAAAATATTTTGAAAATCAACCACCGCCTGAATTTTAATTATGAGGCTCTTTTCCACTTTCCCCCACATTTCAAATTTCCATTTTTAAAAATCGTTTTACATATTATTATGGCTGAATGCCCGACCTTACGATGTATGTAAGGTATGAAGAACTATTGTGTTCACAATAGTTGGTGTGTTCACCATGCTAAATTTTAAGGCAATATCACAATGTAAAAATTTTTTTTTTTGAAATTCGAATGAGAAGAGGGGGGGGGCTTCGCTGGAAATTAGCCTATTATGATTGCAATGGTAGGTAGTTCTCTTGAAATTGCTCGGAACTGTTTGCAATTTTGTCTTGCTTATCTTTTTGCACAAGCGTTTGTTTCCAACCTAAATCGCATATATTTACAGGCTATTATAAAGAAGAATGCTTAATTGGCTATTCAATAGCATGTGCGTTGACATTTGAGAATTAAAAGTGAACACAGTTGATAAATTTTAATTCATCAATTCATCGAATGATCCGAAGAAAGCTGTTTTTTTTTTACAACAGCACAATCATAAAAACTCATTTCCAGACATTTTCCAACTCAGTATATTTCGCAAAATTTTGAAATGCATAATTTATACTAATTCTATACTCTCAAACTAATTGGTTGCTAGTGTGGTTTTGTGGTTCAGTGAGTCGAAAACAATTAAATTAACCAATCAGAATCGGGGAGGGCTCATGCTGGAGGGACCGAGTGCTGGAAAAATTTCTCTAATCAAAATCGCTAGCCGTTCCTATTGGCTAAATGTCTTTCTTACAAAATCGTCAAAGTCGAAATTAACAGAAAATGATAATAGAATAAATATACTAGATGCAGATGAAATAGGTATAATAAATTTAGTTTTTTGTTCTTCCATTTTTCGTAAATCGGTATCCTAAAAAATATTAAATTTGTTCCAATTCGCCTTCGATCCGACATTAATTTCATTCATCTGCTTATTATATAATCGGTCAATACTAACACTAATGGCGTGGTTTTATTTGCTTGCTTTGAGATTTTAGCGATTTATCTGAGAATTTTGAATACTCAATTCTGATTGGCTGAAAATAAGCCGAAATAAATTTCACGCCCTCGGTCCCTCCAGCATGAGGGACGTCACCATCAGAATCCATATCAGAAAGCAAACTAACGAAACAAATAATTGTTATTAATTTTTTTTGGTTCATTTGCAAACTGATCCCGATTCTGATGGCTAATTTAATATTAATCTTCTTACAGACATGTATGAAAACGCAGTTGTCCACTTATTGCTACGTAACCATTAGTATGACTCTACTTTTTTCCCTAACTAACTCGCACATAAAAGTGCCCATTTGAAGGCAATTTTGTTATTATCACGATCTGCTGTAGCATTACAATTGCCTAGCCAAGGTTATCTGCTTTACCTGATGGCTCGTGTTTGTCAAGTCCTTAGTCAAGCGTCTGTCGCTCAGAAGGAAATATGCGAGGCTCCAAATCTCGAGGTCTTTTGTTCGAATCCTGTTTCGAGTCTTTTTCTACTTTTCTTATTTCAATTTTTAGAGCTGCCTCTGGTAGTTTTCTTGCTTGTGTTTGTGAAGTGCAACTTCGCCTATGTGTTTGATATAATTTCTATAAGTGCATTGTAATGCCTGATCGATGCAGCTTTTGACATGATCAGCTCTTTTCTAATTGGGTTGACAATTATTTGCTATGGTTTTAGCTTTTCCCTTCAGTATCCAACATTTCAGTTTTCAGCAAACCTCCTTTCAATTTTCAAGGCTGTATCCAGCATTCGTTTGTCTCACTTTTTTCGTTTTTAATGCCATCGCAAGATGTTAGCAATTGTGTTTTGTTAATTTAAATGGATATAATCTTTGTCACTGCTATATTAAGATAACAATTGAAATATCACTGAAAAATTATTGCCAATTGATCCAAGTTTGATTTTTGTTGATGTATATTTTTATATACGTGCGCGCGTGAGCATTTATTAAAGGGAGTATGGTATACCAACATTCAAATCTCGGGATCAATGATTTTCATTGACACAATTTGTTTGGCTCAACGGGCGTCTAATCGTGTTTTTATAGCTACGTTACGGCCTCGTAATTTTTGTTTCATTGCTAATTATCAACTTGAGGCTTATTTAAGGGCATTTGAGGCTTATTTTTTGAAAAACTTTTCCTTATTGCATTTTTTAGAACTCTAGAGCTACTTTTCTCGTGTTCTCGCTAGTGTTTGCGAAGCGATGCTTTCCCCCTGTGTCGAAAATTGTCGGCCTACAATTTGCCGATAATGTATTGTCGGCTTAGTTGCTATACCGCGGATTTTTTTTGCGCTGTGAGCCTTTTTCATTTTACTCCTGTAGTTGTAATATTACTACCTCTGACTTATTATCTTATTCTCGCTTAAAATCGTGTTTAAGAGTAATGAACGTGGTGAAGACTCTTGTATAGGTGTTGCTGATTTTCTATTGTTTTTTTTCTTCAGGAAAATGTCTTAAAATATTGATGCTTTAAGGTATTTATGCCTTTTTTGAAATCAATTGAAATTCATCTGCTGAAATATGACGGAAATAACACTCTCCAAATACGAACGTGAAATGGCTCGAAAAAATGTGAACGATATCTAGTTTCGAAAGTGGAAATTATTTTTAAGGTTTTCCAGCCGTATAAAAACTTTACCGATTGATCCAGTTTTTTCAAGTTGGGTTCATGTTATCAAAAAAGCGACAATCAAAAATTGTTCTAGAAATTCAAAGAGCTAAAAGGGCATCTATTTTCTTCTTTGAAATTCAAAAGTTGAGATTTTTTTAACGAAGTCAGTGTTTTTATTATGTTTACTTGCGTTCAATACTCTTTTCCAATCTTCGATTGGCTATGTTAATGTTTTTTTTTCTCGCATTCCCATAGAAGTCTGGGTTAAATTGGTTCAGTATTTTTGAGCAACGGGCCGACGCTGGCGGTTCTTAAGATATTGATAGATAATTTCGGCCGCTATAGAAACAATGGTGAAGGATAGTCAAGCGTCTGTCGCTCAGAAGGAAATATGCGAGGCTCCAAATCTCGAGGTCTTTTGTTCGAATCCTGTTTCGAGTCTTGTTTCTACTTTTCTTATTTCAATTTTTAGAGCTGCCTCTGGTAGTTTTCTTGCTTGTGTTTGCGAAGTGCAACTTCGCCTATGTGTTTGATATAATTTCTATAAGTGCATTGTAATGCCTGATCGATGCAGCTTTTGACATGATCAGCTCTTTTCTAATTGCGTTGACAATTATTTGCTATGGTTTTAGCTTTTCCCTTCAGTATCCAACATTTCAGTTTTCAGCAAACCTCCTTTCAATTTTCAAGGCTGTATCCAGCATTCGTTTGTCTCACTTTTTTCGTTTTTAATGCCATCGCAAGATGTTAGCAATTGTGTTTTGTTAATTTAAATGGATATAATCTTTGTCACTGCTATATTAAGATAACAATTGAATTATCACTGAAAAATTATTGCCAATTGATCCAAGTTTGATTTTTGTTGATGTATATTTTTATATACGTGCGCGCGTGAGCATTTATTAAAGGGAGTATGGTATACCAACATTCAAATCTCGGGATCAATGATTTTCATGGACACAATTTGTTTGGCTCAACGGGCGTCTAATCGTGTTTTTATAGCTACGTTACGGCCTCGTAATTTTTGTTTCATTGCTAATTATCAACTTGAGGCTTATTTAAGGGCATTTGAGGCTTATTTTTTGAAAAACTTTTCCTTATTGCATTTTTTAGAACTCTAGAGCTACTTTTTCTCGTGTTCTCGCTAGTGTTTGCGAAGCGATGCTTTCCCCCTGTGTCGAAAATTGTCGGCCTACAATTTGCCGATAATGTATTGTCGGCTTAGTTGCTATACCGCGGATTTTTTTTTGCGCTGTGAGCCTTTTTCATTTTACTCCTGTAGTTGTAATATTACTACCTCTGACTTCTTATCTTATTCTCGCTTAAAATCGTGTTTAAGAGTAATGAACGTGGTGAAGACTCTTGTATAGGTGTTGCTGATTTTCTATTGTTTTTTTTTTCAGGAAAATGTCTTAAAATATTGATGCTTTAAGGTATTTATGCCTTTTTTTGAGTTCAATTGAAATTCATCTGCTGAAATATGACGGAAATAACACTCTCCAAATACGAACGTGAAATGGCTCGAAAAAATTTGAACGATATCTAGTTTCGAAAGTGGAAATTATTTTTAAGGTTTTCCAGCCGTATAAAAACTTTACCGATTGATCCAGTTTTTTCAAGTTGGGTTCATGTTATCAAAAAAGCGACAATCAAAAATTGTTCTAGAAATTCAAAGAGCTAAAAGGGCATCTATTTTCTTCTTTGAAATTCGAAAGTTGAGATTTTTTTAACGAAGTCAAGTGTTTTTATTATGTTTACTTGCGTTCAATACTCTTTTCCAATCTTCGATTGGCTATGTTAATGTTTTTTTTCTCGCATTCCCATAGAAGTCTGGGTTAAATTGGTTCAGTATTTTTGAGCAACGGGCCGACGCTGGCGGTTCTTAAGATATTGATAGATAATTTCGGCCGCTATAGAAACAATGGTGAAGGAATATTGACATCCTCATATTAATACGAAATCTTGTGAACAAATGTAATCCACGCTGGATGAAAAAATGCAAGAAAAAATAGTCCTAAAATTTTCGCGGACTACTGTTATCACAATATCGGTCCATTTTGTTTATACGTTTAGAATAAGAATTGAATTGTTTATAATTTTTTTCAACGATTTGATTATGTTTACCTTGAAATAACGATGGTTTTGTTTTTCAGATAGCTTGATTCATGGGTCGTTCAAAATCAAGGTGAGTTGCTGAATTGAAACATGAATTTATCTGATTTTAATTGCCCATGCCGTCTACAAAAATGCAACAAATGGGCTAAGATTACTGTAAATGTTGAGTTTTTAACTTTGAAATTAGTTTTTAATTAATTTTTTGAGAGATAATATTTTTCAGCAGAGATTGCTCGAATAAAAATTTTGCCTTCTATTTTTGCAAACTATTTTAGGTTACGGTAAATGAACAAAGCACGGCTAGTGATACAAGTAAAACTCATATTTGTTTATATAGAAGTGTATCTTCTTCTCCTGAGAGATACCAGTATGAGAACTGCATGTTTGATCCAGTATCCAAAGGATTCCGAATCCATTTAGCAGATCTTCCTGACAACCCGGACGAAGAGGAACTTCAAAGCGAGTTCTCGAGGTATGGACCCTTGACGGAGAAGCCATGGGTTGCCAGAGCCAGTCCCTGTTTTGGATTTGTGGTATTCAAACACAAGGATGACGCATGGGATGCATGTCGTAAAATGGACAATAAGTAAGTAGAATGATGTTTCCAATTTTCGTCAATTTTCTTACAAATCCATGCGAATGTGCAAACTGAACGTTCATTTTGTTTTCCTGAAGATGTATGTGCAATAAACTTTGTTTCATACCAATTTTCTTCGAAAATTCTAACTTAACTTACAAAATTAACTATAATTGTAATTTTGAAGAAGTTGATAGATGATCGTAGAGTTGTTCTTGATGTATGCGATTTTCTCAAAGCAATAAAAATATATGAAGAGAATTGGATCTGTTTCTAGACTAGTATGTGGCGCTCGTATCCGCACATCGTTTGCCCTGCCTCGCAACCAAGGCCGAGCAGCAGGCGGTCCGGGTGTGCCCAGGTGCTACCAGTGTGGCAGATTTGGACACTATTCCAGAGAGTGTAAGCCCAAGGTCACCAGGGCTGTCAGAGACGAGTGAGTTATACTGTTATAATCAGTTTGATAATTGGATGTTAGGAGCTAAAGAGATACTGTTTCAAGAAGTGTCTTTGACTTTTGTGTAAGTATTGAATTGAAAACAAGCGTCTTCTGTTCTGTGTTCAAACCAGGAGTTGAATTTTAGCCAGTTAATGGTTTATGGTTCCGCTCATAACCTTATACAGTGTTGCTTAACAGCGCGAATTTTGAAAGGCTGTTAGTGATTCAGTGACTGCATTGAAATAAATAATTAAAAGCATTCAAATTGTTTTTGGTTATGAGCGTAGTGGTCCTCGTGTAGATATGCTATGGCTATGTATGTCCCGTGATGGACCACCCAATTGGAACATGCCTCGTCGAGATGGCTATGTACACTTCCTCGAATTCGAATGAATGGTTGACTTGATGAAATGTGGTATGAAATGGCTTCAATTATGGCTATGGCCCAAGCTGAGTAAGTTGCAGTTAACATATGCATGAATCGAACAACTAAGGTCTGATCTTCAAAGATGAGTACTTAAGTTAATTTCGTTTGGTATTAACTTTTTTATAATAAGGAAAAGCACACTTTTTGGGGACGATGAAATTTTAACCAAAAACAAACGGAAATTGGAATCACTTGAGGTTTCTAACCTTCTTTCCGATTTTAGCTCGAGTTCTTCAGAAGAAGAAAGGTCACCTTCTCGAACTCCAGAGAGAGAAAAAAGAAAACGAAGGTAAGGAAAAACGAACGACTGATGGTGTTTCGATGCTTATTCGCCAAATTTACTAGCTAAATTATTGGCTGTATTGCAATTGTGTACTCGACTCTTTTTCCCATAAATAACTTTGTTCACAGGATGACTGAAGTTGTGGTCGTCTCTATCTCTATTTCATCAACGAAAATACAGATGGAGAGCAAACAATTTTTCAGCATATCTGTATTTTAAATGCCCGTTCTATTCGAAGTTTTGTTGGTTGTAAGTTTACCAACTTCGACTTCAGGGTATCAATTTTTTTTAAATATTTTTTTTTCTCATTATTCGGCTTATTAATACATTTGTTAGAGGCTTCTTTTTGAGTCGTTAGAGAAGCAAAAAGCCTTATTTAAGCGTTTTGATGGGAGACTTTTGAGGTTTATAGAGTAAGAGCATATCTCAAAAATTCCATTAAGGTTTGTTTTCAGTATCGAAAGTGGGGCGCAAAGGTGTGGCGCAAAAAGCCCCCCATCAAAAGTATCCCATGAAAACTTAAATTGTCTTCTAATTGATGAGTGGTGCTGGATTTTGTTTACCTATGTTTCGACCTTATAGTAAGAGGTTTTAAAGTATTCCTAATAGAATTTTCGGTTTTGTTGCCGCTTTAGAACTTTTGTTTCGATGCTTATTTAACATTCGATTGTCTTTCTTCTTAGCTTATTTTCATGAAAGGAATTTTTATTTAAGACAAAACTTTGGATATTTTTTACGGTTTTTATCTTTTTTTTGTCGGTTAGTTCGACATGCTATGTGTGGTTTTTATTGCAAGTAGTGCGGTGCTTCACTTGGCTTCTCTTCGTGAAATTTCTAAAGGCGCAGTTAATTCAGATATACGGGTTTCTGATTTTTTTAAACAATTTGAATAATTTTTTAAGAATCGATGAACGTAATAGATTTTGGCGATTGTTTTTTTTTCAGGAAGCATTCTGAAAATGCTCTATGAGCTATATATGTGCATTCATACAGATTAATGCATTTAAGAATGAACTTAGGTATATATGCACTTTTTTAAGTGCAATTTAATTTGCTGAAACTTGGATAAATTGCACTCTCCAAATTCGAACGGTGAAATGGCACAAATCTCGTGCGACAATCGTTCCGAAAGTGGAATTCTATTTTTATTTTTTAAGCGGAATAAAATTTTTACTTTCAATCCAGTGTTTTACAACCTGTTTTACTTTTCAAAAGTAGGCCAGTTTTTCTCTGTTTTCTTGCGTTCATTGACTCTTTTCCTTTAGTCTGAGTTTGTGTTTTTCGAATTCTCGGTTCTTCTGCAAGTAGCGAGAGAGAATCATTCAATTCTCTATCGCACTGGTGCTAAGCTCTGCTTCGCCTCTGTGTAACGTAATTTGATTTATTAATAGTGGTCGAACGTAGTTAAGTATCTTATATAGGTGATGTTTTTTGTCGTGATGAAGTTTTAGCGAAAATTAAGTCAATTATTGTTTTTTTTTGCGTTCATTGACTCTTTTCCAACTCTGTTGGCTACCTGTTTTTGTTTTTGAGAATGCTGTTTTCAGATCTAAAAATAAATATACACAGGTCGCTGGCCCACAATTTTTTCGCTAAGGTGAAATTGAACCGATGATAGCCTCATTTTGATATTTTGAGATCAGGATTTTTTAACATATTTTTGTTGGCTGTTCTTTCTAACCGCCCACCACCTCAAATAAGCATTAATTTTATGGTGTAACGAGAGGTTTCTTAAATTAAAGTATGACCACAAAATATAATTGTCCTAGCTATAAAGAGTCCGCATGCTTGTTTTTGTAACAATCGGATAACGTGAACAGAAAATCACTTGTAAAAATTGCAGTTGGAGGGGTGAGAAAAAAGTTTTCTGGCATTCAAACAAATCCAGTTGTTATTTTTCGGCCTCATTTAGGCGCTCTCAAGCAATAGTAAGGGCATTATCTCCTCAAAAACCCTAAGTTTACCAACTTCGACTTCAGGGTATCAATTTTTTTAAATATATTTTTTTCTCTTTCGGCTTATTAATACATTTGTTAGAGGCTTCTTTTTGAGTCGTTAGAGAAGCAAAAAGCCTTATTTAAGCGTTTTGATGGGAGACTTTTGAGGTTTATAGAGTAAGAGCATATCTCAAAAATTCCATTAAGGTTTGTTTTCAGTATCGAAAGTGGGGCGCAAAGGTGTGGCGCAAAAAGCCCCCCATCAAAAGTATCCCATGAAAACTTAAATTGTCTTCTAATTGATGAGTGGTGCTGGATTTTGTTTACCTATGTTTCGACCTTATAGTAAGAGGTTTTAAAGTATTCCTAATAGAATTTTCGGTTTTGTTGCCGCTTTAGAACTTTTTTTTCGATGCTTATTTAACATTCAATTGTCTTTCTTCTTAGCTTGTTTTCATGAAAGGAATTTTTATTTAAGACAAAACTTTGGATATTTTTTACGGTTTTTATCTTTTTTTTGTCGGTTAGTTCGACATGCTATGTGTAGTTTTTATTGCAAGTAGTGCGGTGCTTCACTTGGCTTCTCTTCGTGAAATTTTTAAAGGCGCAGTTAATTCACATATACGGGTTTCTGATTTTTTTAAACAATTCGAATAAATTTTTTAAGAATCGATGAACGTAATAGATTTTGGCGATTGTTTTTTTTTCAGGAAGCATTCTGATAATGCTCTAGGAGCTATATATGTGCATTCATACAGATTAATGCATTTAAGAATGAACTTAGGTATATATGCACTTTTTTAAGTGCAATTTAATTTGCTGAAACTTGGATAAATTGCACTCTCCAAATTCGAACGGTGAAATGGCACAAATCTCGTGCGACAATCGTTCCGAAAGTGGAATTCTATTTTTAATTTTATGCGGAATAAAATTTTTACCTTCAATCCAGTGTTTTACAACCTGTTTCACTTTTCAAAAGTAGGCAAGTTTTTCTCTGTTTTCTTGCGTTCATTGACTCTTTTCCTATAGTCTGTGTTTGTGTTTTTTGAATTCTCCTTTCATCTGCAAGTAGCGAGAGAGAATCATTCAATTCTCTATCGCACTGGTGCTAAGCTCTGCTTCGCCTCTGTGTAACGTAATTTGATTTATTAATAGTGGTCGAACGTAGTTAAGTATCTTATATAGGTGATGTTTTTTGTCGTGATGAAGTTTTAGCGAAAATTAAGTCAATTATTGTTTTTTTTTACGTTCATTGACTCTTTTCCAACTCTGTTGGCTACCTGTTTTTGTTTTTGTGAATGCTGTTTTCAGATCTTAAAATAAATATAGACAGGTCGCTGGCCCACAATTTTTTCGCTAAGGTGAAATTGAACCGATGATTGCCTCATCTTGATATTTTGAGATCAGGATTTTTTAACATATTTTTGTTGGCTGTTCGTTGTAACCGCCCACCACCTCAAATAAACATTAATTTTATGGTGTAACGAGAGGTTTCTTAAATGAAAGTATGACCACAAAATATAATTGTCCTGGCTATAAAGAGTCCGCATGCTTGTTTTTGTAACAATCGGATAACGTGAACAGAAAATCACTTGTAAAAATTGCAGTTGGAGGGGTGAGAAAAAAGTTTTCTGGCATTCAAACAAATCTAATTGTTATTTTTCGGCCTCATTTAGGCGCTCTCAAGCAATAGTAAGGGCATTATCTCCTCAAAAACCCTAAGTTTACCAATTTCGACTTCAGGGTATCAATTTTTTTTAAATATTTTTTTTCTCTTTCGGCTTATTAATACATTTGTTAGAGGCTTCTTTTTGAGTCGTTAGAGAAGCAAAAAGCCTTATTTAAGCGTTTTGATGGGAGACTTTTGAGGTTTATAGAGTAAGAGCGTATCTCAAAAATTCCAATAAGGTTTGTTTTCAGTATCGAAAGTGGGGCGCAAAGGTGTAGCGCAAAAAGCCCCCCATCAAAAGTATCCCATCAAAACTTAAATTGTCTTCTAATTGATGAGTGGTGCTGGATTTTGTTTACCTATGTTTCGACCTTATAGTAAGAGGTTTTAAAGTATTCCTAATAGAATTATCGGTTTTGTTGCCGCTTTAGAACTTTTGTTTCGATGCTTATTTAACATTCAATTGTCTTTCTTCTTAGCTTATTTTCATGAAAGGAATTTTTATTTAAGACAAAACTTTGGATATTTTTTACGGTTTTTATCTTTTTTTTGTCGGTTAGTTCGACATGCTATGTGTGGGTTTTATTGCAAGTAGTGCGGTGCTTTACTTGGATTCTCTTCGTGAAATTTCTAAAGGCGCAGTTAATTCAGATATACGGGTTTCTGATTTTTTTAAAACAATTTGAATAATTTTTTAAGAATCGATGAACGTAATAGATTTTGGCGATTGTTTTTTTCAGGAAGCATTCTGAAAATGCTCTATGAGCTATATATGTGCATTCATACAGATTAATGCATTTAAGAATGAACTTAGGTATATATGCACTTTTTTAAGTGCAATTTAATTTGCTGAAACTTGGATAAATTGCACTCTCCAAATTCGAACGGTGAAATGGCACAAATCTCGTGCGACATCCTTTCCGAAAGTGGAATTCAATTTTTAATTTTTAAGCGGAAAAAAATTTTTACCTTCAATCCAGTGTTTTACAACCTGTTTTACTAGTAGGCCAGTTTTTCTCTGTTTTCTTGCGTTCATTGACTCTTTTCCTATAGTCTGTGTTTGTGTTTTTCGAATTCTCGGTTCATCTGCAAGTAGCGAGAGAGAATCATTCAATTCTCTATCGCACTGGTGCTAAGCTCTGCTTCGCCTCTGTGTAACGTAATTTGATTTATTAATAGTGGTCGAACGTAGTTAAGTATCTTATATAGGTGATGTTTTTTGTCGTGATGAAGTTTTAGCGACAATTAAGTCAATTATTCTTTTTTTTTTTGCGTTCATTGACTCTTTTCCAACTATGTTGGCTACCTGTTTTTGTTTTTGTGAATGCTGTTTTCAGATCTTAAAATAAATATAGACAGGTCGCTGGCCCACATTTTTTTCGCTAAGGTGAAATTGAACCGATGATGGCCTCATTTTGATATTTTGAGATCAGGATTTTTTTACATATTTTTGTTGGCTGTTCTTTCTAACCGCCCACCACCTCAAATAAGCATTAATTTTATGGTGTAACGAGAGGTTTCTTAAATTAAAGTATGACCACAAAATATAATTGTCCTGGCTATAAAGAGTCCGCATGCTTGTTTTTGTAACAATCGGATAACGTGAACAGAAAATCACTTGTAAAAATTGCAGTTGGAGGGGTGAGAAAAAAGTTTTCTGGCATTCAAACAAATCCAGTTGTTATTTTTCGGCCTCATTTAGGCGCTCTCAAGCAATAGTAAGGGCATTATCTCCTCAAAAATTCCATTAAGGTTCTTTTTCAGTAGCGAAAGTAAGGCGGAAAGATGTCTTCTAATTGATGACTGGTACTGCAATTTGCTAACCACGTTTCGACCTTATATTTAGTGAGCATTTTAGCTACGACAAGGGATCCAGGTCCCGGTCTCGCTCCAGACGCGGCAGCACCAGATCAAGGTCACGCAGTCGGAACGAAGGAGGCAGCGGAGGAAAGGGAAGTCGGAGGTACAGGGAGCCGAGTAGATCGAGGAGTAGAAGTGGTGGGAGGGGAGGCGGAGGAGGGAAGTATCCACGGAATGGCGGAGGATCAGCAAGTGAATTGAAAGAATACAGCAGAGGATATGGATACAGAAGCCGGTATGTGTGTTTATCCTTTCACATTGTGTAGTAGTAGGTATAATAAATTAGTAGTAGGCATAGAGTTATTATTACGTATTTTGCGCTTTGAAAAAAAAAACGTATGGTTGAAGCACTTATGAAGGGTATCGACACTTTTGTGTGTAAAAAGTAAACATCGAAGGTTATGACCGAGGCGTGGATATAGGAGCGGCTTCGGAGTTTGACCTACTGGCCATGCAAATGTTACTACATCAATTTTGGGCTGACTAGCTGTGAAATTTTTGACACATTTGGAGCCAGTAAATTCTTTTTTTTTTCAGGGAAGGAGTGGGGGAGGAGGGAGGGAGGGAGAGATGGATTGTTGAAAAAAGCAAAAATTTATGAAAAAGTGCCTGCCTTGCGAAAATCTTATGCATGCCCCCTCCGTTAATGGCATGTTTGATTATGATTTAAAAGCCCTCATTACTAAATGTAGTTTTGCTCATTACCCTGACTCACCGATAAATGTACTCAGCTGCATGTTGAAATGCTGCAGGAGTAGGAGCGGCGACAGAGGTGGGGCGCGAGATTACAAAGACGCGCCCCCGAAGAAGCAAGAATATCGGGAACCTCCTAGAAAACAGGAGTATCGAGATGAACCTCCTAGAAAACAGGAGTATCGAGATGAACCTCCTAGAAAACAGGAGTATCGAGATGAACCGCCCAGAAAACAGGAATATCGAGATGAGCAGCCGCGGAGAGAGTATCGAGACGACCCAAAGAGAAGAGATGAATACCGAAATGAGCCCAAAAGGCGTGACGACAATCAGGGTTATCGCGAGGAACCGAGAAGACGAGGTGATAACGAGTCGTTTAGAGACGAACCGAGACGTCGAGGAGGGGATCATGAATCGTATCGCGAAGAGCCGACAAGACGCCGAGAAAGCAAGCGAAATTATAGTCCAAGATAAACTGGAAAAGTATCCAGGTCAGACCAACTTAACCGCAGTACAAAACTGAAGAAAAAAACTATTTCGGAAATTGTTTTGATGCTATCTTTTGCTTATCTTTTTGAGCCTATTTTTGTGTCCGTAATTTAATCAGCACTACTAGCTTTTTCTATTGATAATCTCAATTATCTTCTGCAGAAAAGTCTTCAAATTTGATCACGCTTGATTTTTTTTGTTGTTTGAGGTATTTTTTCAAATTTCAATACAAGTTTTTTTTAACTGAAAGGAGGGCAAAACTTTCCTTTTGGCGCAAAAGTTCAATGTCGCAAAAAACATCAATGGATTAAGTTTCGACAGAGGATATTGTTTTTTTTAAGAGTAATGAGCTGATTTTTTTTTTTTTCAGGAGAAAGATTAGAAAGGTTAAAATACTGATACAATTTTTGAGTTCAATTGAAATTAATCTGCTGAAAGTGACGTAAATAGCACTCTCCAAATACAAACGTGGAAATGGCGCAAAAAAAACGTGAACGATTTCCAGTTTCAAAAAAGGAATTTTGTTTAAGAATTCCAGCGGAATAAAATTTTTACCTATTGATCCAGTTTTCTCAAGTTGGGTTAATGTTATCAGAAAAGCGCCAATCATTATTTGTTCTAGAAATTCAAAGGGCGTCTATTTTTTTCTTTGAATTTGAAAGTTGAGATTTTTTCAACAAAGTCTTTTCAACTGTTTTTTTTTCTGTTTACTTGCGTTCATTACTCTTTCCCTACTGGTAGTCGACTGTTTAATTTTGCAAACTTTTTTTCTGTCTCAATTTTGGCGCTGAAGAGACTTGGAATTAGATTGCTGGTGAGGATGAAATTTTTTACGCTCAATTTTGATTTTTCGCGGTTTGACTTGTGATTTCTTTTAAATTTTAGCGCATTTCCATTTTTAAACAGAAGGCAAACTCCACTATCGAACAGCAACAGTGTAAAGGTCACAAAAACGTGATCGACTTTTAGTTTGGAAAATTGAAATTAATTATCAGATTTCCAAGCGAAATAAAAGTTTCACCTATTGATCCAGTTTTCTCAAATTGGGTTAATTATAACAAAAAAGAGTCCATCATAAATTGTTCTTAAAGAGCCCTAGAATCATAAAGAGTCCATCTCAAATTTTAAGAGCTCTAAAGCTATCTGTTTTTTTTGAAGACGTTTGCAAAAAAAAATCTGTGTTTTTTTTCAGTTTTCTTGCGTTCATTACTCTTTTCCAGCTGTCAGTTGACTATGTTTTATATTACTAATTTATATTATATGTCTATTTCTATTTGGTGCAATTTTTGCTGCATAGCATTGGCAATATATTAGCATATGTAACTGCTTAATTGATGGCTAGTGTTAGCAAATTTTCAAGGGCCCGTGGCGCAGATAAAAGGACGTGCAACTCCCATTCTTCTGGTTGTTGGTTCGAAAGTTCCACTGTTTTAACTTTCAAAAGTTTTAATTTTCAAGGCTTATTTTTACCTTTTCGTTTCTTATTTAATTTTTACAGATAATTTTTGTCCTTTTCACGCGTGGGTTGGAAAGACTGGAATCCCTCAGAGGCAAAGGACTGAATAAAAATCAGGCCATCAGATTTCATTATTCCAAAATTTGAAAAGAAACATTGAAAATCTCCAAGGAAGTTAATTTTTCCAGTGACTGAGTAATATTATTGGCCAAATATAAAAACGGCAGAAATACGCAAAATTTTCAAATTGTCACTGACCGTCGGTTAATTAGAACAAATTTTGTCTCTCAAAGTTTTCGTTATCAAAGAAGCAAAATATTGATTAATTTAATTCCTTTGATTAATTGATTCATTTAAATTACTTTCGACTGTTTTGTTTTCGGTGCTTCGCCCATGAGTGTTTCGCTTGTTGGGACCTTTCCCCATGACAATAGCCACCTGTGCGAAGCATAGCTTCACTTCTGTGTAAGAAAAAGTAGTCGTGTAATCTGCCTATCGTTTAAATCATAATCTAATATTATGGCTTTAGTATGAAACCGCATAATCGTCTGAAATCAATATGTTGAGGTTAAAATCTTAAATCATTAACTGCAATCGCTCAAGGTTTTTAGATTGTTTTTGCTGCTCGATTTTTACTGATATAGGTCTTAATGATCTTTGTTTTTTCAAAGTCCCGAAAAACGAGAATGACATCTAGTTTCTAAAATGGACTTTAATTTCTTAAATTCCCAGCGGAATATAAAATTACCTATTGATCCAGATTTCTTTTAATGAGATAGTTTTTCGAAAAACGTGCCAATCATAAACTGAATTTGAAGTCCAAATAGTTTCAACGTGATACAGTTTTTTCGAATTCGCAGTACTCGATGAAAAAACCCCAGACTCACGAAAAAATAGCCAATTATTGGTGTTTTTTTTTTCAATTTGCGGTTTAAATCTGACCTTTTTATAATCATTAGGCTTGCGATTAACGAGCATCATATGATCGTGTAAGGGTTTTCATATAATGTCATATACTGTATAAGGTGTACAAAACACTGCTTTTAAACCAGTTTTCTTTAATTGTGTTTGTTTCATGAAAAAAGTGAATCATTAAAAATTAAAAGGCCTTTTAAAAGTGATGCTTTTATTTCTTCAAAGTTTGAATATTGAAAAAAAATGTTTTTTTTAAATTAATGTTTTCTTGTTCATTGGCAGCGCTATTGCATTTTATGTTAGCTATGTTTTATGAAACGCAACATAAACGATATTTTTGTTGCTTTCAGATATCAATTGCTTATTTATCATATATTTACCTACTAGCTAATATGCTGGCCGATGTTGAAAACGCGCTTGGCTTCGTTCTTCAAAAGTCCGGACCATCCATCGACAAGTTTCTTGAAATAGTCTTTGAGTTTCTCAAAACCAGAACTGATTTTTACGTGATAAGCGATGACCCGTCGAAAGGAGGGTTGGGCTTCAAGAAGGGAGTTGCTGAAAAACTGGTGCTCAGAAGCTTCAGAATGTTTGACCAGATCGAATTCGATTCAAGTAAGTTTGAAATCGGGACAGCTAAAAACGAAAAATTGTACCTGTTTGCGAAATGCAACTCCGCCTGTGTTAAAGAAAATCTGGAAAACCGCATTTTTTTTGCAGATACAACATAAGTAAGCGCCTCAGAAGGCCATAAGATGATCCAGGTGTTGATTTATGGGGGCTCCAAAACACGGAGAAGAAGCAGGGGGTGTTCTTCTACATTCTTAATGTTTTTCTTTGTTTTTTAGCGACATCCAGTTCGACCAAACAGCTCTTATAATTTTACCAAATCGATGGCAAGTTACGCTCTTCAATGACAAAAAAAGCGAATGGCGTAAAAAAAAGTTGATCAAGTTCGAGATCAGGGGCGGATCTAGGATTTTCTCGAGGGGGGGGGGGGCGGATTTTCAAAAAAATTGCGAAAATTTTGTCGACCTTTTATTTTTTTTAGGTCGACCAAATTGATTTTCCGAGCTCTCCTAAAGCACTAAAAAGTGCCTGTTTTGAGCGCAATTTCTGCGCCGCAGGCAAAATTTTTGAAAAACAGGCCAAAAAAGGCGTTTTTCAGCACTTTTTGGAAAATTTTGATAAAAAAATCGCATTTTTTTTTCGGCGCGCGCTCCCCACTCAAAATTAGTATATATTGGCGCCAAGGGCGCCTCTAGAAAAGTTTTAGGGTCGATCGGCCAAAAATCTATTTCTTAAAAATTACCAAAGGGGGGACCCTTTGGGTCGGCAGGGGGTCGAATCCCCGAGGGGGGAGGGGCGTCCGCCCCCCCCCCCTCTAAATCCGCCCCTGTTTGAGATTCAAAACTGGATCATAACTCGTATTTTTATGATATATTGGCTGTGGTTGGGTGTTAGTACGGAAACGCAGGAGAATAGAAAATTTACATAATGATCCAGTGTTCTCAAGTGGATTAGTTCAGTCGAAAAGCTGAAAATCTTAAAGGTTTTTGAAATTGAAAGAGCATTCAGGTGAAATGATTTATTTTTTTGACAAAATGTCCAGAAAAAAAATCATTTTTATCGACTTTCCTCAGTATATTGGCACGTTTATTACTGTGGGTTCTATTGGCCTATGTGTTTGAAGTAGTAGAACAAGAAGAAATTATTTCTTTGGTATAGATTAACATCGGCTAAGTTTGAACAAAGTTTATACATTTTGCAATAGAGAGGACAGCTAACGAATCCATCAGGATCTCACACTTTGCTGTCTTAATCTTAAATTAGCAACCTGGGGGATGAAGTTTTATTTGAAATATTAACAAATTTCGTTTTTTGAAATATTTTACCGAATTTATCAATTTCAGCCTGGGTTAGAAACTTAAAAAATCTTAGCGGATTTCAAGAAAAATTCCTAATCTGGGCGCATGTTCCCACTCCAGAGACTCCCTTTTGTTCTGAGAAAAGTTTTGTTTTATTATTGAATTAGCATCAATTTGTTTTTAGGCTTGATGGATGCTCTTTTTTCTCGAGAATTTGAGAATAGTCCGTCGTACTAATTTTGAGAATAGTCCGTCGTACTAAAGTTCCGGGGATTACATCAAAAATCTCGAATTCGTAGAGCGTCCATTAGGTGGTATAGGGACAGGGTATCAACTCTACTTATTTTCATTAAAACAATACGCATTTGATAGAGCCTTTTTTGACCTACTGAAAAATTAGTCCAGTCAGGTCTTCATTAATTGAAATATGAAGATTTTTTATTGAATGAGCTATAGTTTGGATTTCAGAATGAGAAAATGCATGTATATTTAGACGGAAAACCGTATTATCAAATAAAGCTTTGCGCTACGATAGCTCAAAGATGCGAGTTTAGGTTTATTCTTAGAAGTGGGAGTTTTGATTAAGCTTTTGGTAGCTCTTCTCGTTTTGTATGTTGAATCCTCGTAATAAAAAAGGTTATTTAGAAAGCTTTCGCTGTGAAGACCCGAAATTGATTATAAAACACACTTGAGCACTTCATAAATATTTAGTTCATGAACGGTCAAAATATTCGCGTTTTGAAAATCAGGCCTAATACTTACGAAGATTCGCTTAGAGAAAATATATTTCACGATTTTCTTTTACAACATTAACGAAGGTACCAAGGAGCTATAATTCGAATCAATATACACAAGAATTTCATATGGGATTATGGATTCAACGTTTGAGACATAATAAGTCAAAAGTAAATGCTTGGGGACATAATGTCTCATTTTTGAAATTAGAGAGAGAGAGAGAGAGAGAGAGAGAGAGAGAGGACTTAATTTACCGCTTGGGTAATTTACAAAACTTAACAGCAATAATCGAAATAGTTTATATTTTTAAAATAGTTATTAAGAACGACAATACAGGCAAATACATTTTGCCGACCACGTACAGCTCACTTTTTCATTGTAAGTTTGAAGCTTGCTCTTGTAGAAAAGATGAATTTTCCTCTTCCATTCACAAAATGAGTCACGAGCATCAATTCTCAGGTGATTTACCAGCCTTACAACTTGATCAAAATAAAAATTTCTCGTCTTCAAATATCTTCGATTTTTCAAAACAAACATGCAGTAATTTGAGCTCCGCAACGACGAACAAGATTCTGAAAGGGTAACGTAATCGAAAATATTCAGGTCATATTTCCCGTGGAAAAGTCGATGGAAAAGGAGTAAATGACTTATCTCTATAGGAGATAGGGTAAATACTCAAGTTCCAGAGTGTAGAATTATAATCACCAGTCATGCCAATCCACTTAATGCAACGCTTATTTAAAGACTCCAACTTCTGAAGATCAGTTTTGTTTGGGGACCAAATTGGAGATGCATAAGATAAAATGGAGAGAATACAAATTTTGTATAAATTAATTTTGAGTGATCTAGATGCACTCATCGGAACATTTCTTTTCAGCATAAAGAAGACCTTATAGCACTTCGAAATTTTTTCAACAACGTGGAGGGACCAACTTATCGGATCTTTTCGAACTATGCACCACGATAAGAAGAAAAGTTGTTTCTTGTTATTTCAATAAAACAATGATGCACTCATCTATCTCGGATGTTTGCTTATCTATAATTTTCACTTCATCTGTGCAATGAACCATAACACTCCACCTCTAGAGTTTCTTGTTTAATTATTTATGTTGCTATAACCAGACACTTTAAAGCAGTTGTAAATATCATCAGTTGAAAGGCAAGTTTTGGTTAGACATATTATGTGTTGGTGACTCGATCAAAATAAAAATCTCTCGTCTTCAAATATCTTCGATTTTTCAAAATAAACATGCAGTATTTGAGCTCCGCAACGACAAACAAGATTCTGAAAGGGTAACGTAATCGAAAATATTCAGGTCATATTTCCCGTGGAAAAGTCGATGGAAATGGAGTAAATCACTTGTCTCTAACTTATAGGAGATAGGGTAAATATTCAAGTTCCAGAGTGTAGAATTATAATCACCAGTCATGCCAATCCACTTAATGCAACGCTTATTTAAAGACTCCAACTTCTTAAGATTTGTTTTGTTTGGGGACCAAATTGGAGATCCATAAGATAAAATGGAGAGAATACAAGTTATGTATAAATTAATTTTGAGTGATCTAGATGCACTCGTCGGAACATTTCTTTTCAGCATAAAGAAGACCTTATAGCACTTCGAAATTTTTTCAGTAACGTGGAGGGATCAACTTAAATTCGAAGTAAAAATAACACCAGGGTCTTTAAAACTTTGAATGCTATCAAGCAAAGTATTACCGATATAGAGAGTCGTTATGGAACAGTGAAAAAATGAGAGTATTTTGCACTTCTCTGGATGTAAATCAAGAAATTTTTCAATGCACCACCGCTGTAGAGCGGACAAGTCAGTCTGTAAGGAAGTAAAACTTACGCTGCAGCATTTGAGATAAAGAGAAAAGAAGAGGTGCTAAGGGTTGAGGGAAGATCGTTTACAAACAATAAGAATAATAAAGGCCTTAAAATGCTACCTTGGGGCACCCCACTTGTCACTGAGACAGTTTCAGATAGCATGCCATCTATGCGCACACGCTGGTAGCGATTAGATAAATAACTATGTAGAAGTTCTAGGAAATCATGATCAAGGCCATATGACGCAAGTTTATAAAGCAGCCTGTCATGTCGCACTGAAACGAAAGCTTTCTTAATGTCAGCATAAAACACGGTAGTAAAAAGACCCTGCTCTTGACCTTCAAAAATTTTATCACAAAAACTCAAAAGTTGAGTTACAGTTGAACGTCGAGACTTGAACCCATTTTGTGATGACGAAACTTTGTACCGGATTTTCAAATAAACATGATCGAATAAAACTCGTTCTAGACCTAGTGATAATTTCGGTAATAAGCTGATTGGCCGATAATTGGTAACATCACTGTAACTTTCTTCTTATGAAGAGGCGAAACATACGCACTTTTCCAAGCATCAGGCCAGACTTTGTGCTTCAAAATTTCGTCGTAAAGTGCAATAACCAAGGGACACAGTTGATTAGAGCAGTAACCAATAAATGCAGGAGGTAAATTATCACAGCAAACTGAGGATGAATCATCAGCAGAGCGTAAGAAGTTGAGAATTTTATCGAAAGAGATATCAATGGAATTTAACGAAATTGACGAACAAGTATAGAGCTGTAACACATCGACCGAACAGGAGGGTTTGAAGACTGAAGCGAAAAAGCGATAAAATAAATTCGATTTTTCTAAAATGGTGCGAGCTTTGAATGACCCCCAATGTAAGGTGCCAGGAAATGTAAACTTGTTGGAAATGCTCTTGAGAATTTTGAAACAGTTGTTAACATTCAAATTTGCAAATGAGTTGAGATAACATAATTTATCTAGTTCTAAGTTTCGGTCTAGCTCAAGTGCCAGAGAACTATGATCGCAAGCCGGGAATTGTCGTGTCTTTGAAGTTAGTTTATTCATAAGGTGAACGGTAGATGAACTGTAGTAAAAAGGTAGTTGTTGTCGTTTTTTCCGTTTCAGCTGTGCAGATGCTGCCACTTCACCTGATATTGTAGGTATAAACAGAGTTGAGAAAATTTCAAGTGAGTGAGGATAACTTAATGCATCGTAGCACGCATCTAGGAAACTATTAAAAGTAACGAAATTAAAAGAACTTCTGGAATAAGATGGTGGAGATAACTCAGCGTTTGTATGCATTGAAAATGTATCCCCAACGGCACGGTGATCAGAAGGTGCACAATCAAAGACAACAGGTTCATTTTCTAGAAAACGGTCGTCAGTTAGCAGAATGTCAAGTATATTCCCACTCTTATGAGTTGGTTCATGAATCAATTGCTGCGGATTGTAATCCTGGAAGATTGAAATCAAATTCATGTCATAGCTGGAAGAACTAAAGCTAGTACGGCAATCAATATCCGGTAGGTTAAATTCACCGCCAAGTAAGAAATAATTATTTAAACAACCAAGTTTTGAACATTCCGTCCGGTAAGCAGAATATACTAAGGATAGGAAATATTGAACTTCTGAACAGGGTAGCCTGAACCTAGAAGATGCAGGAGGGTTATATACTGTAGCAATGCATAAAACATATGAAGAACTCGAAAGCATAGCAGCGCATCCAACATTAGAATTGCAATGAACCGGTATGATATCAAAATGTGAATTTAAGGTAGATTTCATGGCTATAAGAGCACCCCCGTGTTCGTCATTTGATCTATCAGATCGAGCAATAACGAAATAATCAGAGAAAGGAAAAACATGGTTAGACTCGGTAGAGTCATTCAGCCACGTTTCGGAGGCACAGAAAATACCACAGTTCCACGAATTTAAAAAGTTAACAACTTGTAGTCGTCTATTTAATGAAACCAAACTTTGGCATTTTAAGAACACTACAAATAATTCAGAATATAGTCAGTCTTCATTGGAATTTGTTGGAACCTCTTGGCCATCCAAATAAAGTTTTAAATCTCTAATTTTAATGAGACTTTTGTCATGCCCAGATTCGCAAAGTTCAAATCGTTTTTTTTTTCGGAAAGGTTCTTTCAAGTTCTTGGCCAGTTTTTGTGAGGGACTTACTAAGGTATACGGCAGATGAATAGTCTTTAGCTTGTAGGCTTTGCTCAATAACTTGCGAGCAGACCACGCTGAATTCAATTTTACAATGAGACTTCGGGACTTTCCTGAATTGGGTTTCACTTTGCCCGCCCCTAAACGTCTTGATTACAACCTGAAGCATCCTTTTCAATAAATTTCAGCACATCGGTGACTAGTTTCGAATCATCTTCGAATCGTTTCGCTGTGGTTTGAGATGAGCTCTCAGGTATGCCTCGAATTCTGATTTCATCTATTTTATGGAGGGTTTCAGACTGTGGAGAGGTAGAGGGGTGGGAGATGACGGTTTGGACAGCAAGGGTGACTGGCACAGACTTGATAGATTTTTCTACCGCAGATATCGAATCGACAATTAAAGTAGTGGACTTAACCCTGGACAAGGCTTCGCGTAATAAACAAGTGAGATTGCTTTTATTGACAGTGGCGAGAAACTTATTCAATTCTTCAGGATTACAATCAAGCAGCTCGTCAATCGCAGGATAATAGTCCTTGGTAGACGGTAACCGCCCACGTCCACTATCGCCGTGCACCATGACAATCAAATCAGTTGTCTCTACTTTAGATCTTTAAAATAAATCCAGAAGAAGTATCGACAATAAAGATAATGATAGAGTTAATAACCAACAACGTCACGTAAATGAAGTGAATATATCTTTTGTTCTTCCGGTTCAAATGCTGTGTACCATCAATCGGTTCTCTAAAATCCCTTAGCATTGGGGTATCCACGTAAGTCTCCGATTCGCCGAACAGTGCGCTCTGAAATGAACTTATCAAATAGCAGCTAGTGCTATTTAATAAGTTTATCACAACAATTATACCCCCACTGCTTTCAAATCAATTTCTCGGTGTTTGGTTATTTCGGTCTCGCCACCATATGCTCGATTCCTTTTTGTTATGAGATTTTTGATATAATTTGAAAACCAACGATTTTTAGGCTTTATTGCCAAAGATCAGTCACTTGGTGTGACAAGTGGTGCAAGTTTTTCTAGTTAACTTTTGAAAGACTTCGACTGAATCTGATACAAATTTGAGTTCGAATTCAATTTTTTTTGAGCTCGTCTGATGAAAGGAATTGAAATTTATTAGTTCGTATGGTTGATTTTACAAAGGATATATAACTAAAATTAAAACTTGTTGATTTGGTGCTTCTTTCCATTATCGAAAATGTGAGCAATATTGGATAATGACCTGAGCATGTTCGATCAAATTTTACTCAGATGTTTTCTACATTCGCGTTTCTTTCAAAATTGTGACCGAGTAAGGTATCACTTTGACTTCCAAATCTATTAGGCTCTCTAATAAGCTGATCGAAACCACTAGTTTCATTGATAACCAGATGTTTTGCCGAATGTTTGTTATTTTTCATCAAGTCAATGTTGAAATCACCACACACTATCATAAGATATGATTTTGCTGTTAGAATATTCAATTCATTCCTTCTCTAGGTTCTCCAGGAAAATGAACTTACGGATCTTTTCGGACTATACCACGACAAGAAGAAAAGTTGTTTCTTGTTATTTCAACAAAACATTGATAAACTCATCTATCTCGGATGTTAGCTTATCTATAATTTTCACTTCATCTGTGCAATGAACCATAACACTCAACCTCTAGAGTTTCTTGTTTAATTAATTATGTTGCTATAACCAGACACTTTGAAGCAGTTGTATATATCATCAGTTGAAAGGCAAGTTTTGGTTAGACATATGATATAACGGTGACTCGGGGTATTTAATAAAAGCATCCAGTTGATCGTTATGTTGTGATCGTTATTATACGACCTAATGTTTAAATGGTTTAAGATAGCATCACAGGTTAGAGGTACATCTTTTTTTTTCAGTCAACAGCTTCATTGTTGATAGCTTTTTGGCTTCTTTGACGCAAAAAGTACTCCCTTCAGGATATGTGCTGTATAGCTGTTTGGCGTTAGGTTTTTCTTCTATTAGCGCCATGGTTAATCCTTGATATCTTAAGGATACTCTTTCGTGCCCTCAATTCACTCAGCAAAGAGTCATCTTCAAACAAAATGGAGCTACTTATGAACCGCTTCAGGGATAGTAGATTCGTTAATGGGGTTCCGTTGAGGGCAAATTGCGTGTGCAGTAAGGATGGCATTAGAGTGCCCACTTTGGATTGTTTAGGAAATGTTCGTTCCTCAATCTCTTTTTCACATGTGCAATGTCATTCTGCATTCGTGCCCCTGTTTTCTTAGCAATAGCTTTGAGTTCGTCGATTTCCTTTTAAGATTTCCTTTTAAGAAATTTCGGTAATAAATAATTATCTATAGTTGTCCTGGTCCAGATCCGGTATTTTTGTTCGTTGTATACGAATTTCACTACTACTCCTGGGGGTTTGCGAAAGTACTATGACCGAGTAGATTACGCGCTTTCAAAAGATGCGCTTCAACTCGTACTTTGAGAAGTTTGTTAATGAACGCTGGTGTATCATAGAAGTATGATCCAGGTTGGCCCAGTGGAAGGTTTCGGAAATTCAGTAAATCTGTGGTCTAATAACGTTTCAGTTGATTGACCTTGATGTGAATTCGACTCATCTCAGATTCAAGTTTTGGATACTTTCCTCTTTCATCACCCGTTTTTCTATAACATCTGAAATTGCCTGCTTTGGTTATGCGTCAAGACATTTGCTTGCATTGATCGCCTGTAAAGCTTTCTCCATTTCAGGGTTCATTTCCCCCAGCATTGTGTTTTATAAGTTTATCACAAATTCGACCCCACTCACAAAAATCCTAGTCCTAGATTCGTCCCTGATTTTGTTATTTTGGTAATGTATAATAGATTTGTTTTGTTATTTCATAATTAGAGAACCATGTATCCGCCCTTTTTAAAACCGGCTTCAAGTCCTATTTGGCTCATGTATTTTTGAAGCACGAGCAATTGAAATGCTTTTTGTCCTGATTTTCAAGGTAAGGGATTATCTATACTTTGGGTGATGCAAAATAGCGGCTTGGGTTGCTGATCCGGATAAAGTTCGCCGGTGTCGAAAAACTTCGAAAATAACACCGTTAACAACTACATTGCATTATTTTTTTGGATATATTTTAGCTACCAAAGAATGTGAACTTCAATCGGAAGAAGTTTGTACTACTGAAAACGAAGTAGAATCAGAACACAGACAGCAAATCAAAGCAGCAACAAATACAAACTACAGTCTAGAGAGCGAACCAAGTGTACATTCAAAACTCTCCAGTGAAGTTTCCAATAGACAAATTGAATTAGTTCAGATTTCTGGTGATGAAGGGAAACAACAAGAAAATTCGGCGACAACACATATCGGAACAGAAAATTTGAACATCAGCGCAGAGTCTGAAGCACCGGGAATCATCCCTCTTCAAGATAGCGACACCTTCAATGGCTCCGAAACTAAATTATACAAATGGTCACAGTCGCAAGAGGATGTAGAAGTGAAGCTTAAACTTCCTGATTGTATTTCAAATCGGAAACAATTGAAAGTTGAAATTTTAGCGAAGTCTTTGAATGTGAAAATATGTAAGTGTACTGAAACTTCCAGTGAAGAAAATGAAGAGTATGTGGCTGGAGAATTATTTGACAATGTTAACTGTTCGAGTAGTTACTGGAATTTCGAACCGAAAAAACGACTGCTAATTATTTATCTGGAAAAATTAAAGCCTCTATGGTGGAAAAGGGTGAGCCATGAAAAAGTTATCTTATCAATTGGAAGTTCATTAATATATCGCATGTTTTAGCTCAACTCAAATTTTAGTTCCATTTGGTATTTTGTTTAAGTTTTGCTGACATAAAAAGTTTTCAAAATCATGCGAGGGCATATTTTTTAAAGGCTCATTTTGTGATTGCTTCATTAAATTTGACCATAACAAAACACATATAGAGATCCCATGTGGAAGTTATGATTGCAATGGGAAAACTTATTTTTCTCAGGCGAAAATTCACATCATTTTAGCTTTTGTTGGGAGGCGAAGAATCTGATTTGGATATGCGGAAGTTGGACACCACAATGAATCTACATGATTTACCAGAAGGAGACAAGGCCACAATTGATCAGCTGCAATACGATCAGTTGTGCAAGTTGAAAGGTGATAGTAATGGTTATCTACGTGATCATAGATCGGAAAAGCTTCTGAGTTTTTCCGGAGAGCAAAAAATTCAAATTGGTCCTAAAGTTGTTCAGCTCTAAAAAGTATTTTATATTGTGGCTTTGCATGTAAGTTGCTAGCGTTTAGTTGCTGAATTGGAAACTTAAAACTCAGTTTGTGCAATCTAGTACTTCGGCCTGTCAAATTATTTGCGACTTGTGTAATCCAATCATATCGAAACGGAATGACATAATGCAAATGATATGTAAAACAGAACAAGACTGCTCGTATCAGGGCGAATCCCTGAATGTTCGGAATGCCTTTTAAGGTTTATGGAGCAGTAATAACATTAAAAAATTAAACGTAATAAAACAAAATGAAAATCGTTTTTTTTAAAAAATTTTTAATGAAAATCATCCCCCCACACGCCATATAAAGTACAAAAGGCAAAAGGATAGATTTCGCTCCTTGTAACAAATCAATTTTGGCAATTAAGCTTCCGTTAACCGTAAATAGCTTGAATTATATCGCTAGTTAATTGTCCCAAAATGGCAATCTTTAAACCCCCATAACTTAACGAAAAATGATCACAGGTGAAATAACTTTTCAAGTTTGAGCTCATGACAACAATACCTTTCGAATGATGTAAAAAATCAGTCAAAAATGGCTAGTTAAAAATCGAAATTTGTCTGAAGAAAAAACCCAACCCGAGCACAAATATTCCGTTACTTTCGTATCGAAAGTCGGAACAATAACCAAGAATTTAAACTGAAATGAGAGGACCTTCGAAAATTTGAGTTTTTTACCCATAGAACGCTTGTGTTATAAGATCAGTTCACTTTTTACCAACCAAAGTATGTTTTACGTGTTATTTTTTTGTTTTCAGTTATAGTCTATGCGTTCACCTCAAATTATATTTGGCTTTAAAGCATGAGTTTTATCCACTTCATTAAGGCGCGATAATACCCCTGGTGCATAATAGAAAGCCTGCGTGAAGTTAAAAAGTTTTAAGGCGTGTGTGTTTGGTATATGGTAAGTTGTTGACTAGGTTGCCTCAGATATTTGGTTCGATCCGCCGCTGTTGCTTAACACTAAAATGTACGCTTAGAAAATCTTTTAACGGCTTTGCCTTCTCTATTCCAATGTCTCGTTGAGTTTTTTTTCCACGCAAAATCTGGTACCACAAAAAATCAACGTTGATTGGTATATCATATCAAAGCACTTTCAATCGTGATCTGAACGACATAACAAATTTTCAACAACGTCGAGAAAAACCGGTTTAAAATTTTTTATTTTTCGTCTAATTTTGAGCGCATATTTTTTTGTATTATTTGTTAAAGGCTTTTAATTGTCAGTTTTTAGATCCACTGAAAAATCTAACTTTTACTTCAGCCAAGCAAAATATTTATCGAAATTTCTTTTAGCGCCTTCTTAGGAATAAAATTTAAAGAAAATCGGAAAAAATTTTTTGATTTAAAATTTTTTTTTTCATTTGTCCCAGAAAACTGTTGTCAAATGTACATAATTTACTTTTACTATCAAGTTTTTAGGCTTTCGTTTAGATTCTATCATCTCAACAAAAACAAAAAACGTCGCATTTTGAAAAAAAAACTTGGTAGGTTTTTAACAATATGGTCGGAACATCTGTGATACTTGCGCGGCAACCGGCTATCATCATTTTATACTGTTTTTGTTTACTCACGAAACAACTGATTTTAATCTTCTTTTTTACCCAAGACCGTACTAGATAATTGTTGAAAAGATATAGTTTTTGACCTTGTGATTAGCAAAGGTGTTGCTACCGGGTACTGGTTCGTTTCCTCGAAAGAACCTGGTTCAAAAATAGACGAAATGGTTATCACTATAATAATATCAACTGCGGAGGTAACAGGCAGCACGGTTAGTATAGTTGTAGTTTGGGCATGCCTTGGGCGCTTAATAGGAGTTCTGGTAAGAACATTTTCTGTGACGACGATCTTCGGTAAACTTCTGGCGCTGTAGCGTCGGCTTTGTATTCATCGACTTATTTACATATGTTTTTCTTTAATTTTTTTTGATATTATATTGGAGTGATTGAACTTTTGCATAATTTTTTTTATACGTTCAAATCAACATCGCGAACGCTCTTATGTTTTTCCTTCGCTTTTTAAATTCCTGTTTGGTTGAATTCCTTGTTGCCTTTGTTCGCTCAATCGACTGTGTTCATCATCGACCTCCGGGTGCAGATAACTGGATCTTTTAGCAACTTTTTTTTTCTGTTTCTGTCAAGGTTTTCAACAACTTTTTCACAATCGGCAACCGGGCGCAGTTAACTGGATCTTATCGCAATTTTTTTTTCTATTTTTATCAAGGTATTTGACAACATCTTTTGTATTTTTGTAGCCTATTTTGTGTGGAAAAGAAGCCGTTTTTTTATCTACGGGTTTCAAGTGCGCATAAAGTTCTATCAAATTACACACTTGTTTTGATAGGTTTGTTCAAACTTTTAAGATGAATGTTGTAATTTCAGAGTTGTTGTCTGCCAATTTTTCTGATACACTTGCTGCATTCGTGCTGCATAGCTTAGCTGTATTTAATTAATTAAGAAATACTTTTCTGTTTTTGTGAATTTGTCATTCATCTGGTTTGATTTTTGTCCAATTAAAGATTTGTTTTCGGAATCTTTCTTTTGTCTTCAAATTGTACGTTGGTATCCATTCTTTATATATTTCCTTTGATCAAATGTGCTTTTCTGTATCAGTTCGAGAGTTTTTTCGATTTTTTATCCAGTGTCCGATTTTGTTCTACTTTTATGACTCAATTTGTTTCTAAGATTTTTTAAGACAAGAAAAATAAAATTTACAAACTTGATTTAATTTATGAGTTTTCTTGGAAAAGTTATGCTTTAATAGTTTATTTCAGTTAAGCGAAAAAAGGTCAGTGAAATGAAAGAGGTTTTAAATTCACGTGTGATGAAAACAGATATTATGAAAATTTTTGGTATCGGGTTTTTTTTGAGACGCTGTGAGAATTTTTTTCTCAAAAGGTTAGGTTTTCTCAAAAATGACAATGCCTATTTTCAAACTGGGTACCAGTGGGAAGTCCGCCAACTATTCTGTTTGCCTGTGTAATTCTCTTTTTACCTTGCCTCTTACCTTGACTTCGAAAAAGTGTGTGGGCTGAGTTTTTGACCCATATTTTTGGATTTTTGACTTTTTCTCAAAAACAACGTTCCCGAAATTGAGATTTTGGTTTCAATGGGTTAAACAGGTTGTGTTAAGCTCCCCTGATTAAGCAGCACGCCCAATTGTTTTTACTTAAAAAGTTATGGCCCTCAGAAAAGTTTCGATTTTTTTACCATTTTCTGAAAAGTTTTGAACCATATTTTTGGATTAACTTTTTCTCAAAAACTCCTCTCTCTGGAATCTGAGATTTTGGTTTCAATGGGTAAAACCGATTGAAGAAAGCTCCCCTGTGTAAGCAGTTACGCCTTAGTTTTTTAAACAAAAAGTAATGACCCTCGGTGAAGTCAAAGTTTTGATTTTTTGACTGTTTTTAATCTTTTTGACTAAACCATAAAGACCAAGGATTTTTTAAAATGATTTCTTAATAGGAAACAAACAAGTTACTTAACCAAAAAAATAAAATTCAACCCAGCGCTTACCAAAAACATTTGCACAGAAATCAGTATCATGTTGATATAGGTCTCCAAAACTGTCTAGTTTAATTGCTGGTCATTGCCTTATCTTTATTAAATCTTATAATGTATTTTGACAATCTTATTGAAAAGAAGTCTAATTAGCTCACTTATTTTTTTGAAATAAATCTATTCATTACAGATCGCGTGTGTATTGTTCTAATCCGTGTGTCACTAAGATGCTTACTTATTTCTTTTGATGTTATGAAATTATTCACTTCTTTGCTTGTATGTTTTTTTTCTTATGACTGTTGTTAGTATTTATATCTGTTAGAAGACTTATATCTATGTAGCTCATAGGTTGAGTAAACTTGGTATTTTCGTCTTGTCGATCTTACTTCATCGAACTTTCTTTTACTGGCGATTATTCTCATTAGTTTTTTTTGTTGTTTCTGTAGTTTATCTAGATTTGATATGAGAATAAAATCAGTGATTCATATGATGCTGCTATGAGATGCTCAATGTCCTGAAAATTCTCACGTTCTTGAAAATGCTTATTTTTATAAAAATTCAAATTGATTACTGGGTGGTTAAAGTTTCAAGGCAGATTTACAAAGTCAGTTTTTTTCTCGACTCAACTGGTGTCTGCTCAAAGATGGTCGGCCTTGTTTCCGCTTCGTAAATTTTTTCAGTTATTAATTAGAAATTATAATGCCTGCATGGCTTGCTTGTCTAGTTTTCGTGTACGACAAAAACAGGTATTATTAAACTGTATTGGATTTGGTTTTTTATATTTATTTTTTGAGGTATTTTGAAGTTTATATCACTTTTTTGCAAAAAGTTTTTCTTTTTTTCAGAAACCTGTAGATTTTCAGAAAGGTGTATCCATAGAAAGTGTATGCATACTCTTCTGGTATCTTTTTGCCTTACACCTTTGTCTACAGCCTTCGAAAAAGTCTGTGGGGATAATTTTTGACCATTTTTTTGGTTTTTTGTTTTAATCAGAAACTAACCTGCCAAATCTGAGATATTGGTTTCACTGAAAAGAAAAAAATAGAAAATCGCCCCCTCCACAAGCGGCTACGCTCAAACTTCTTTTACACAAGATTTTGGCCTTCGAAATATTCAATATTTTCATTTTTTAAATCATCCCTCCTAAACCTGAGGTTGTGGGTTCAATGGAGATAACGGGAAGTTCAAAGCTCCCCTGCATTAGTGGCCATTTTTTAAACAAATTTTTATCGTCCTCGAAAAATTATTGTTTTTTTTTGAGCGTTGTAATTTCTATGAAATTTAACGACAGTTACCTTTCCATATCTGAGATTTTGGATTCAAAACGAAGAACGGGTTGTGGGAAGCTCCTTTGTATACGCGACGACGCCCA